AAAATATGCCATAAACATATTTCATTAATGTCAACATTATATAGTTTAGCATAGTCTGCTTAAGGTGATTGTTTTTCTTTCTCCCCTGCTCAGAGATGTTTGAATAGTGTGGTGCCGTGCTCTGCTTGAGTAATAGAAGTGGGAATACAGATGTGCAGTCATAGCTGAAAGACAAGCTGTTCTCTCTAATGTTGGAATAAGGACTGCATTTGTCTTGTAAAATATTGTATTTAATTCACTCTAAGGGTGTTTTATTTACATTGTAGAGTCTCACTGGCCTTGTGATTTCAAAAAAAGTGTTATGTATTCTTCTGAATTTCTGTGGAAAAGAGCTGCATGCTAACCTCATTCAGGGTTTAGAAATTAAACCTCAAGGAAATCTGATACACATCACATTGTCTAGAATTTCATGGCATGATACAATAAATCATGATGTTTGGTACAGTGTGTAAAACTTAAGCTCAAGCTCTTTTCAGACACTTCAGTTATGAGAAAAGTTCCACCCTGGAAGTGACAATGCACAAAGTGAAGCTTGACAGAGAGTTTGAAGAAGTGTTGTGCTACTAGTTTGACGGAGGTTTTACTTGAGTAGGACGTTACGTGAGCCTGGTCATCTGGATGTGTTTAGACTCTGTGTGCTCGGAGCTGGCAGCCAGATGGCTTCAGCTGAGGGACAATGAAATCTCCAGGGTCCGCAGGAGAGAAAGCCCTTATTCTGATTTGTCTCCTCAGATGAAACCACATCTGGGCAGCTTTAGCATACCTCTGCAGCGTGTGTGTGTGTGATGGGACATGGAGACCCTGCAGTCCTTTGTTCACTTAATGCTCTCAGTTGATTATTCGACAATAAATGGTCATTTGTTAGTTAGATTTAAATCCCAAAAATATGCACAGCATATCCATGTGAGATCGTCAGTGTTTGCCACAATACTGGATGGTATTTGTATTTATTTAATACCGTGGGCTAGTTATTCGATCTGTTGATGAAAATGTGCATGGCACCTTATCAAACCCTCCGAGAGACATAGAAAAAAGCTTATTTACTAAAATGAGCTCACTTTTTCTTGTTGTGTGATAAAATTCTGTCTGGTTCGATTTCATTCAGTTTTTTTACTTTAACACCCTCCGTCATTTATTTACACCGCCTTCTTTTGAAAATTCACTAGAAATGCTAAAATGTGTGAAAGAACAGTATTCATTGTCACGCAAGACTCAAAGATATACAGTGGGGCAAAAAAGTATTTAGTCAGCCACCAATTGTGCAAGTTCTCCCACTTAAAAAGAGGAGAGGCCTGTAATTTTCATCCTAGGTATACCTCAACTATGAGAGACAAAATGAGAAAAAAAATGCAGAAAATCACATTGTCTGATTTTTAAAGAATTTATTTGCAAATTATGGTGGAAAATAAGTATTTGGTCACCTACACTGAGACTGCCAAGGCACACNCACAAGTCTTCGTGGATATACAGTGGGGCAAAAAAGTATTTAGTCAGCCACCAATTGTGCAAGTTCTCCCACTTAAAAAGAGGAGAGGCCTGTAATTTTCATCCTAGGTATACCTCAACTATGAGAGACAAAATGAGAAAAAAAATCCAGAAAATCACCTGTCCACAACCTCAAACAGTCACACTCCAAACTCCACTATGGCCAAGACCAAAGAGCTGTCAAAGGACACCAGAAACAAAATTGTAGACCTGCACCAGGCTGGGAAGACTGAATCTGCAATAGGTAAGCAGCTTGGTGTGAAGAAATCAACTGTGGGAGCAATTATTAGAAAATGGAAGACATACAAGGCCACTGATAATCTCCCTCGATCTGGGGCTCCACGCAAGATCTCACCCCGTGGGGTCAAAATGATCACAAGAACGGTGAGCAAAAATCCCAGAACCACACGGGGGAACCTAGTCAATGACCTGCAGAGAGATGGGACCAAAGTAACAAAGGCTACCATCAGTAACACACTACGCCGCCAAGGACTCAAATCCTGCAGTGCCAGACGTGTCCCCCTGCTTAAGCCAGTACATGTCCAGGCCCGTCTGAAGTTTGCTAGAGAGCATTTAGATGATCCAGAAGAGGATTGGGAGAATGTCATATGGTCAGATGAAACCAAAATAGAACTTTTTGGTAAAAACTCAACTAGACGTGTTTGGAGGAGAAAGAATGCTGAGTTGCATCCAAAGAACACCTACTGTGAAACATGGGGGTGGAAACATCATGCTTTGGAGCTGTTTTTCTGCAAAGGGACCAGGACGACTGATCCGTGTAAAGGAAAGAATGAATGGGGCCATGTATCGTGAGATTTTGAGTGACAACCTCCTTCCATCAGCAAGGGCATTGAAGATGAAACGTGGCTGGGTCTTTAAGCATGACAATGATCCCAAACACACCGCCCGGGCAACGAAGGAGTGGCTTCGTAAGAAGCATTCCAAGGTCCTGGAGTGGCCTAGCCAGTCTCCAGATCTCAACCCCATAGAAAATCTTTGGAGGGAGTTGAAAGTCCGTGTTGCCCAGCAACAGCCCCAAAACATCACTGCTCTAGAGGAGATCTGCATGGAGGAATGGGCCAAAATACCAGCAACAGTGTGTGAAAACCTTGTGAAGACTTACAGAAAACGTTTGACCTCTGTCATTGCCAACAAAGGGTATATAACAAAGTATTGAGATGAACTTTTGTTATTGACCAAATACTTATTTTCCACCATAATTTGCAAATAAAGTCTTTAAAAATCAGACAATGTGATTTTCTGGATTTTTTTTTCTCATTTTGTCTCTCATAGTTGAGGTATACCTAGGCCTCTCATCTTTTTAAGTGGGAGAACTTGCACAATTGGTGGCTGACTAAACACTTTTTTGCCCCACTGTATCTCCAACGAGGCGTTTTGGGGAGGTATTTTCTGTGTTAGAGTTTTACTCGCTACAGGGTTTACTTTGAGGGTTTTGACTCTGCAGACCGTTTACATGCATAAAAACCTTCATAACACACAAGGGGACGGGTAATAACCGGAAAAGCATGACATGGGACCTTTAAGTCTTTCTTAGTACACATACATGTAAAAGGCACATGATTGGCAACTTGGAGCATAGATTCCCTGAAGTCAACGAGTGCTTTTTCAAAGTTACTTCCAGTAGTCAGATTGTCTTCTGTTTCCAACTATATACAAGACAGCTCCTGTTGTGATTTTTTGTTATTTCACCCGTCATTATGAAGGCTTGCACCGGCAGCTCCCTGAGCTTTGGCATGACCACTTGCTGTGCCATTTCATCACATTCTTTGGCCTCTACCCTATGTCAAATCAGTTTTCTGACATACATTCTTAAGTATCCTTCATCAACTTTCGCCTGCTGTCCTCAGGAACTCCAATGCATACCAGCTCTGTTCAAAAGCTACATTTTACAGATGTATTGGCCGTGGCTGCACACAAGTTTTGCAGTTGGGGATTGCGGTTCACATAAATAAGTGTTTCCAGATGTGGTGGCAGTGCGGGTGATTGGAGGTGTACAATGGGGAATTGTGGTGTCTTGATAGATAACGCATCATTTGTCATTAAAAGGTGACAAATGTCCATAGGTGCGTTTACTTTCCACAAAACCTTATTTAAAGAGGCAACATTTATTCTACATTTCCAAAATGCATCGATGCCGATTTCTTATACCTAATTTCCACTTCATGGGCCGTCTGGATTTGCCTCACTTTTTTCTATTCTCTATTTCTCAATTTCATTTTCCACTGTCGATCTATGTAGATGTCTGCTGATTGCCATAGTGGCGCCGCGTTAAACTGCAGTGACATCAATCCTTTCATCTGCAACCAAACAGAAAAAATATACCAGCCAACTATTTTTTAACCTGGGTTGAGTTAATATAACTTAAAAAAAATGATGGTTGCTTTTGAGGGTATTTGGCAAATGTTTAAATGGTTAGTCTGCACAGGACTTCCCTCCGACCAATCGGCGGTCCTCAGTGCTTTCACTCCTAGTAGCGGTTCAGCTTGCTTGGAACCTAAGGTGGTACCGAAAAAGTACCTGGTTCTTTTCACAACTTTTGCTAATAGAAAACAAAAAAATAGGTATAGGAATTAAGTAGAGTCGTGGTGTCGGCATTAGTTTACTTACTTGGCAATGGTTAGTCTGACTCATTGTTGGGTTAAATACTTTTCTTGAAGGCACATTGACACCACCATTTTTTGTTATTATGCCCCAACACTCTGGAACAAACTGCCCAAATCGTGCACGTCCGCTGAAACACTTCAGATTTTCAAATCCAGACTAAAAACGCATCTATTTGCCGCTGCTTTTAATTGAGCTGCTCATACTCACACTAGACTATGCCTTTTAGTCATGTATTCTGTACCTGCTGTGTTTATTTATTTATTTAATTTCACTATCTTTGCTTTTTATGCCTGTTTTTAAATGCCATTTAGTTATGTATTTATGCTGTATTTGTTCTTAAATGTCTTTTGTTTTTATTTTGTAAAGCACTTTGAATCGCCGCCTGCTGAAAAGTGCTATATAAATAAAATTGCCTTGCCTTATGTACGCCCAAGACAATTACATTACAAATTTGGGGTGAAAAAAACATTTTCTTGGAATCAAAGTTAGCTTTTACCTTGTTGCTTGTCAAAGGGTTCTTCCCATAAAAGGTTAGACATTTGACATACCATTAACCCCCACTTTATTACCAGCCCTCTGAAATAGGATGAGGCTCAGGTCTACCATAGTGTTTTGTAATCTTTTTTGAAAAGCACATATGGATTTTAGCTTGCAGATGTACGGTGAGACAGCTGGGCTTCAACAAATGCCCTTTTTGTAACCCCAGTAGTCAAATTCAAAAGTCAAAGTCAACTTTATTGTCAATTCCTCTATTTGTATACACCAGTATCAGTAACTGCAGCTATACATTTTCCACATAATGAAGCAGAGATTTCCTGTAGTGTAGAATTTGAGGTTCTTGTGTTCAAATGTGTCTAAAAGCTTGTCTTTGTTTATGCCATTTCTTGCAGCATCAACAATAAACTGCAGCAGCCAGAAGCCGCATCTGGAGTGCTGGAGTACGCCATGAAGCATTTTGGAGAACTGGTGAGTGTTCTTTTTTTTTGGTTTCTTCTGTATTTTTTGCCTTACATTAAAAAAGTAAACCTGATCTTAGGTTGTAGTCAGACCCACGTTTCTTCTTTCCTTTCAACCGTTCTGCTACATTGGCATTGCAGGGGTGCTGTTGCAGAAGGGCTCATAACTAGTAACTATAGCAACAGCCCTAACAAACTCAGACCTTTGCATTTCACGATGCATTTTCAGTCAAATGACATTCTCAGTGGGACGTGGTGTCTGTCCACATACTCTACTTCCCGGCATATCCTTTACCCTCACTTGCATGAGGATAAGGGCCATTTGAGGCCCAGAACACCCTGTGCTTAATGTGCAGCACGTGGAAAACCATCTGCTTTGCTGATCAGTATTCAGGGGCAAGAATTAAGGACTTTTTGTCCAAACAGACAGGATGTTTGGACTTTCTTGCATATTTGAATAACTTTAATGTGCTCATCCTGTGTATAACCTAAAAACAACTTGAGGGTATTTTCTGCATCCTGTCTTTCCATTGGTAATGGATTTTCTAAGTAATTATTTTTTTATTTTTTTTAAAGAGCTTGCATTTCAGTGACTCCTTAGTGTTTCATGTTCTGTGTAGATGGAGCTCGTCCATAAATGGAATAACAATCACAAACAGTGTACAGGCAATTTACATCATTACACAGATTTTCCATATCAATTACCGTACTTTTCGGACTATAAGCCGCGCCTTTTTTCCCATTTTTCGACGCTGCGGCTTATATAACGGTGCGGCTAATCTATGGATTTGTACAGCTCACGGCCACCACCTTTAACTCTATGGGCTCTATGGCCGGTCCGCGGACCCCCAACTTTAAGCAGCGGGTTCCAGCAGGAAAAGCTGGAGGCCGGAAAAGAGTGAGACAGGTAGCGCGCAAAAGTAAAAGTGGAANCTTTGTTTCTACTCGTCTAGATTACTGTAATGCAGGGGAACTTTATGCCGGCCTAAACAAGACCTCGACTGGCACGTCTTGCAGCTTGTACAAAACGCTGCGGCCGCTGCTTACAGGAACCACGCAAGCATGGGCACATCGCACCTATTCTGACTTCCCTCCCACTGGCTTCCTGTCCATTAGAGTTCATTTTAAGATGTTATCGTTTTGTTTTTTAAATCGCTCAATTGGGCTGGCCCCTCAGTACATCTCAGACCTTCTACATGGTGGTACACCCCCTTCAAGGGCTTGGGGAGGACCGGGCCTTCTCAGCGGTAGCCCCCAGGCTCTGGAACGACCTGCCCCTCCCATGTCAAATTGTCCCCCACTCTCAAACTTTTAAGTCCCGCCTGAAGACCCACCGTTCTTTCCCTCGCTTTCGACGTCAGTTTGAGTTATGTTTTATCGATTGTATGCATTATTGTCTGTCCATAGCCTTTAGTCCTTTTTATCTATTCTTATGTGTTCCTTTTTAATCTATTATTGTAAATTATATTATATTTATTATAATGTTATGTTTGGCTTATGAACACTTTGTAAACCTCTGTTTTTAATATGTGCTATATAAATAAAGTTGATTGTATTGGTATTAGGCAGTGTAAGAATGAATCTACTTACAGTACTTAAGTACACATTGGTATCTTTACTTTAGTATTGACCCATGCCTACAACAGTCATCCACAACTCAGTATATTTCATTAACATTTGAGAAATCAACTGGTTGCATAATCAATTAGGTCTTTTTGCAAAAATATTTAACATTATTGTCTCAGTTTTTTCAAACATTTTTTTTCCTGTTAATGACATCTGCAGTTTTCACTGATGATGAGATTGCCATTGATTACTATTTTTCGACCATTTTAAAAAACCAGACCAACAATGATTAAAAGACAGATTAAGAATATAACCATATGCTATCCATAATAAAAAGAATAATAATAATACGTTTCAGCACAATGTTTAAATTATTAATCAACTGACTCCAAGAAAAACTGCTCCTAGTAATATTCTATATATTTCTGGTGATGCTCCAATGTATAATAGTCATACTTCGGTATTTAG